AATCAAAACCCGAAGCCACATTTACTAGGTTTGTGAGCTTGGGCAGGACTCATAGCCTCTCTGGGCTTCAGTTTTCTCATTTATAACATGTCAGCCAATAAGAGAACCTATGTCACAGTGTTGATGAGGAGAATAAAGCAGTAAATATAAGAGAAGAGCTTCAACTAGGGCCTAGAATATGGGGAGTGCTCAATACATATTAGCTCTGATTATTAACAATGATTGACCAAAACATGTCTGTAATTCCAATTTTCAACAGCAAACTAACAATACTCTTATACAGTCATGGGCCACATAACAATGTTTCAGTTGACAATGGACCACATATACGATGGTGGTCCCATAAGATAATAATGGAGCTGAAAAATTCCTATCGTCTAGTAGCATTGTAGCCATCACATGTGGTGATGCTGGTGTAAATAAACCCACTGCACTGCCAGTTGTATAAAAGTATAGCACATACAATTACGTACAGTCTTTAATACTTGATAATGGTAATAAATGACTGCGTTACTGGTTTATATATTTACTATACTATACTTTGTACCATTATTTAGAGTGTACTCCTTCTACTTATTAAAAAAAAGCATACTGTAAAACAGTATGACATATTACGCCAGCAGCAGCCTCATTCATACATCTCGTGTTCACCATGTCTCTTGAGTACATAATTTTTCTCTTGTTCTTGATTTAATCTGAGTTATTTTGTTCATCATGGCCCCTAAGCATACAAAATCCACTGCTAGTGCTGCTAGCAAGAGGTCACATAGAGTGACTGACTTAGAAATGAAATTAAAAGTTATTAAGAACTACAAAGGGGGAAAATCGGTGATGGTTATTTCTCACTAGTCCAGCATGTCCCTCCCATGCCACCACAGCTATGGTCTTGAAGAACAAGAACAATGTGATAGATGCTGTTAAGGGATGTGCTTCATTGAAATCAATGAAACTAACAAAATTCCAGAAGAGCCTACATCAGACATTGAAAAACTTTTAATGACCTGGGCTGAAGACCAGGCACAGAAGCAAATTCTTCTCAGCACCATGAAGATCACAATCAAAGTAAAAAGTTTATTTGCAATGTTGAAAGAAAAGACTGGACCTGACTATAATGTTGAATTGACTGCTACCTCTGGGTGGTTTAAGTGGTTTAAGATTATTATTCATTATATATTGTAAAAGTGAGTGATGAATCTGCGAGTGCTGATGTGAAGGCAGCTGAAGAATTTTTGGACACTCTAGATAAGCTGATTGTGGAGGAAAATTACTTGCCAGAGCAAATTTTTAATATGAATGAAATCTCCCTCTTCTGGAAACAGATGTTTTAAAGGACTCTCATCCATAAAGAGACCAAGTCAATGTCAGCTTCCAAGGCTTTTAAGAACAGGATAACAGTCTTGCTTGGGGACAGTGTTGCAGGCTACAAACTAAAACCCTTTGTGACCTGGCACAGTGAGAACCCAGGCCGTCAAGCCTGTCAATAAACACACACTACCAGTGTCCTACAGGAGCAGTAAGAATTAGATGACCCAGCTCTTCTTCCAAGATGCCCTCCCAAATTCCTATGCCAGCAAAATGGAGAAGTACTGTTTGGAGAATAAGGTACCTTTCAATATTTTGCTTATTATTCATAATGCTCCCAGACAGCCTCTTTTTATCAGTGATCATCATCTTAATATCAAACTCAAGCTTCTCTCTCCAAATACCACATTTTTGGTCCAACCAACAGATTAAGGAGTTATAGCAGTTTTCAAAGCCTGCTACTGCAGCGACCCGCGCATCAACCGAGCACTCCTGACTCGGTCAGCCAAGAGCTTACCCGAAAGGGTACCTGACAGGATTGGGTGGGAGACTAGAAAAGAAAGAGACTAGAGACAAAAGCTGGGGACAGGAGGTCCACTCAATGCTGATGACAGAGAGTGGCCTCGTTTATTGTTTGTACACAACTTTTATAGCAAAAGAAGCTTTCCTTAGGTAGGGGGTTTGGGGAGCTTGAGGGAGTAGTTCCCTCCTCTCAGGGAACAACTCCCTTGGGGCTTTCTATGGGGTCTGGGGAAGCAATCTCCCCAAAGTAAGACAAAATATAGCAAGCAGAAACTATTAAGGATGGCAGTTCATTCTACAACTTTCAAGGTCGTCGGTTGTTTTCTCCTCAGCGGCACAGTGGAGATGAAATTTATCCAGCAGCCTTCCCACGCTACTCACCCGGGCCTGAGAGCCTGTCAGCTTGCCAGCTGTCAGGCTTAACCCTTACTGCAGACCTCTGGCTCTCCACATGCTACCAGAGGAAAACCTTTGCCCAGTTTATTTCTGCAACTGAGGAAAACACTGATGCAATTCTGGAAGGATTACAACACCTATGACTGTATCAAGAACCTTGCTTGGGCTTGGGATGATGTCAGCAAAGAGTGTATGAGTGGCATCTGGAAGAAGACATTCAAGAGGTTTATCTATGGCTTCAAAGCGTTATTCAAGGATGAGGAGGTTGCAAAAATCCACAAGGCTGTGGTTGAGATGACAAACAACCTTAACCTGGATGTGGGTGAGGATGACATTGGGGAGCTCCTAAAAGTGGTTCCTGAGGAATTGACTCATGAAGAGTTGTCAGAGCTAGGACAGGAACTCATGGCTAAAGAGGAAGTAAGAGAAAAGGAAACTGCAGGAGAATAAAAAAGAAGAACCCCCAAGAAAATCCAAGTGAAGGTTTAGCAGACCTCAACAAGCTCCTTAAAAAGTTTGAAAACATGAATCCCAACACCAAAAGGTTTTCATTAACAGAGAAGAATGTTCATGGTGCATAAACTGCTTACAAACACACCACCATGGGCATATTTCTGAAAAGGGTGACACCTCCTCAGGCAGGAGAGCTTCAGGCAGGTCCCTCAGGAGGTATTCCAGACGAAGGCATTGTTATCATAGGAGATGGCAGCTCCATGTCTGTTACTGCCCCTGAAAACCTTCCAGTGGGACAAGATGTGAAAGATGTGAAAGACAGTGCTATCGATGGTCCTGACCCTGTGTAGGCCTAGGCTAGTGCGTGCTTCTGTCTTAGTTTTTAACAAGAAAGTTTAAAAAGTAAAACCAAAAATATTTAATAGAAAAGCTTATAGAATAAGGATATAAAGAAAGAAAATATTTTTGTATAGCTGTACAATGTGTGTTTTAAGCTAAGTGTTATTACAAAAGAGTAGATAAGTTAAAAAAATTAAAAAGTATAAAATAAAAAGTTTATAAAGTAAAGAGTTACAATAAGCTAAGGTTAATTTATTACTGCAGAGAGAAAAATATTTTTAAATAAATTTAGTGTAGCCTAAGTATACAATGCTTATAGTCTACAGCAGTGTACAGCAATGCCCTAGGCCTTCACATTCACTCCCCACTCACTCACTGACACCCAGAGCAACTTCCAGTCCTGCAAGCTCCATTCATGCTAAGTGCCCTACACAGGTGTATCATTTTTTATCCTCACGAATACTTTTTTATTTTAAGATTTTTATTGGGGAATTGGGGGGATGGGAACAGTTCTGGGGAATTGGGGGAAGGGGAACAGACAAGTTGCTGTCCTTTTGTTCTTCAGCCTAGTTGTGGAGGACTTTGCTTCACTGGCCCAAGTTGGCACCATCATTGCGCTCTTCCCGGGTGAGGCAGATCAGACGCTGGCTTCTGGACGGCCGCTCACTGCGG